CAATTTTTTTGGCGTGGTATCCACAAATTGCCAGAAAGGTGGTCAAAATGTGTAGAAAGCAATGGCCAATACTTTGAATAAAATGTTTTTTACTTTCCTATTAATAATTAGTGTTTTATTTTCACCAAATACCGGTACACCTGGTGTAAAGAGCTTTGAAACTTGCATGGGCTTTGTTAGAAATTTTTGTTCACAAGTTGCTCAAATATTCCACATAAATTGCATCATATTCTTTTGGAAAAATAAAAATAAACAGAAAATATTTTCAATGGGTCGACTTATTTAACTCTGAAATCAATACTGAAGCTTGCATTAAAGTTGAACCGTATTTTAGCGATTTCCATTCTTTCATTTAATTTTATAAAAATATTTATAAGAATATTCCGATCTGAAGTTTCGAATTATAAATGAAGCTATGACATTAGTGTCGACAAAGAGTTCAAAGCTCATGGAGTTCAAAGTTTTCAGAGAGAGAGAGAGAATACTGTTTGACCTTTCGAGTTCTGCATTTTCTTTATTAACTATATCTATCTATAATAAAGGTTTTATGATGTAAAATTTTAGTTTCATCTATTTTCTTTTGTATTTTGTTCTGTAATAAACGTTTCAGTTACTTGTGTGTTTTTGTATGAAACTTTCGAAATGTTTGTAATACATTTTAGTTTGAGGTCCTTATAGTTCTTTTTAATTCCTGCAATTTATTTGTATAGTTTCTTTTCGATATTAATTTTTTTTTACCTGTTCGTTCATATAAAAGTTTTTGAAGCTTTATTGTATATATTTATTTATGTAGTACTTCCCTACACAAAATAGCCAAACCATCGAAACTTTTTGGCAAATCACATCATCACAGACGTATGTGGTATCAAAAATTTTTTAAATTTTTAAAAATTTTTAAATAATTAATTTTATTTTATTATTCGCTATTAACCGAATATTCCTTGCTTTTATAAAACATAAAGAAATACAGGCCATCATTACACTCCAAAAGACAAACAAAAAAACAGCGCACAAAATATACACTGCAAACAGGGATACTTCATATGCAGCTACCATACAAGTAACCAACGACAATAACGCCAATACACACAAGGAGTAAATACTATCACCAAAGATTTATAACCACAACCCAGCAGCTCCAGATATCTGATACTCTATGACGATATTGTACATATCACACCAACGGCTGACATAATAAATAAAATAAATCCAATAACTTCAAATATAACTAGTGAAATCAACACCACTGCTAAGCCTTCATATTTATCACACATAACTCCTGATATCAAACTCAAAGTTTTTCCTACGTCTATATCTAACCGTCTAAAACACAATTTAAAGCTAAGTCTAAAAAAAACAATTGAAACTGTTTTCAACTGTTTTCATCAAAGTAAAAAAAGACAACATCAGTGTAAGCCTTAATTCAGAAGACGTAAGGGACTCGTCTATGAACTGCATCTAATATACTTATACATTACAAATATATATATTATCCATATTTTATTATATTATATTATTAACATTATATTAATCTTTATTACAATACATTGCATTTTTGCTTATATCAACCTATATCCTTTATATCTTAATGACTCTTAAAACTCTCCAATCGAATCTAAATGGTTACATCAACAATTACAATCAACTTCACATCCTAATAAAAACCCAGAACTTAAAAATTATTGCTCTTCAAGAGACTCACATTCACTTTCCTAATAATATACCTACCCAATTAACTTCACTCTACTTACAATCAATTCATCTGTCAACTCGCATGGTGGAGTCCTTTTGCTCATCTACAACTCAATACAATATGAGAAAATAGAACTCAATAACAACTTCGATTCTGTCGGTGCCTTGGTGTACTCCCAAATTAATTTTACAGTAATATTGTCATATATACCCCCTAATAAAAATTTTTCAATAAAATAATTGCGAAACATCATTGATAATCTTCAAGGACCCATGCTAATTTTAGGCGATTTCAACAGTTGGCACCGCTCATGGGGCTCGCCATAAAATAATAAAAAAAAAATTTCTATCTCAATCATCTTGCTTTAGAGGCAAAGTGGAGAATAGAATCCATCTTTGTGGTAGTGACCACTTCCAATAATTATCTCCCTATTCGATAATCCCGTCACTTGCTCTCCGAGAATTCGGGCAAAATTCAACACTAATAAAGGCAGATTGGAACAAATTCAAAGCCACTGTTGACCATTATAGTTCAATAGTACCAATAAGTATACACATCAACCAAGAAACCTCAAATATCATAAAAATTATTAGACAAAGCGCGCGTTTAACTATCGAACAAACCACCCAGTTCGCTAACAGAAAACGTATCGTACCATGGAACTCTAACTTAAAAAACTTAAGGATAAAAAAATTTCACAGTGGAATAAGTTAAAACGATCAATTTGTTTATAAAACATAATTAATTATAAAAAAGCAAATGCACTCAAAGGAGAAATAAAAAGGTCTAAACACAAGTCGGTAGAAAACTTCACAGCAAACATAAATCCATTAAATTCCAAACAAAAAATCTGGTCTCACATTAATACTTTTTGTGGTACCAAATCCCGCACTCCTATTCATTGCATCTTTAAGTCCGATAATCATTCTATCACCAATAGCCAACTTATTGCACAAGAACTGGTCATCAGACCAGTTAGTCCAGTATTGACAGTTTATCCAGTAATGACCAGTATTGACCACTCGCCACTGACCACTTGTCAATACTGGTTATCAGAAACGAATGACAATAACTTCTTTTCTATCTTCCGCTGTCAAAAACAGTCCTTATCAACATCCAAATTAATTATCCTTTGTCCAAAAAAGCTCAGCTTATTGAAGAAGACATTTCCTTCATAGAACTAGAAATAGCACTAAAAACCTTAAAGGGAAAAAACCTGGACTAGACAGAATTTCCTACGTAATGATAAAACAACTCACCCCAACTTTAAAAACGAATATAACATACTACAATAACATATTGCATAATTATTTACTTCAACAATATAAGACCAATAAAATCATACACATACACAAAGCGAACACAAACAAAACTCTACTTTCATCTTTTAAACCCATATTTCTTAACCCTTGCCTTTCTAAAGTTCTTGACAAAATTGTAGCTAATCGATTATTGTTGTTTGCTACTATTAACAAGCTAAGCTAAGTTAAATAAGTAGCTGACTCTTTAGTATATCTAGACAGTAAGATTACTTCAGCTCTTTCAACTAGAAATCACATATCTATAATTTCCTTACATTTTAACAAAGCGTTTGATAAAATAGGCATCCACTCTGTTATCGATGAGCTACATTCTTGCAAACTTAGACCCAAGATAATCAAATACGTTACTAACTTCGTGTGCAGCAAGAAAATCATTGTCCAAATGCAAACATCTTCATATTTACCGTAAAAAGTCATGAAAAAAAGTGAAAGTCAATTCAGCCCAATTCAATGTACCCACTACAGGTTCCCACAAGGGAAGAGACCTTCTGACCGCTAAATTATCAAAACTAATTCTTAACTGTAGACATTCCTCCTTATTCTTAGAAATAACCAAAACTATTAGAGCAAAAAGACACCATAGAATACCAACTTCTCTGCTTAAATCAATATCACTTTGCAATAATTTTAATATCACCACTACTCCTACCCCTGTAAGTTACCCTACTAATCCGCCCTCGAGCAACTCTCTCTTGAATATTAGTCTCTACGACTCCACAAAAACCTCTACATATCTATCCATCTTTCAAAAGAAGTTTTTAGAACTTAAGAATGCTGTAAAAAAATACTCCTTCATATATACAGACGGTTCAAAATCTGACCTCGCGACTGCTATCAGAAATATCCTATCCTCTAATCACAAACGTCTTACCCTTATTTGGGTCTCGGGTCATTCTGGGATACGAGGAAATGCACTAGCAGATGAAATAGCAAAAAATGCCAGAAAATACCCGTCCATACTTACTGATAATCGTAATAGCTCAGATCTCTCTAATTATGTAGGTACTGTCTTTAAAAGCAAATTCTCTGAAATCTTTGATAACTCCTTCTCTCATTATAAAAACATTAATTTCAATAAAACTTCCATTTTCAATTTCACCCCTCTTAAACATGACCATAAATTCCCACGCGCATACCTTACCAAATACATCCGATTTAGACTAGGACATAACAATTTAACTCATTCACATTTATTCAATAGATCACCACCACCCTCTTGCCCGTTTTGCAAGATTTTAAATTCTATACACCATCTACTAATTGAATGCCCGCATTTCTCGAAAAATGAAACACCATATTTGATAACATAAATCCAATCATCTTATTAGTTGACCCCACAAAATCAAACATCCTGCTTATAATCAAGTACTTCCAATCTGTTGGTTTATACCTTGTGATCAAAAAATAACTTATTAGTTCTTTTCTTGAATTCCCGCGCTTATCCAATCAATAAATTTTTTTATTTTCACGCTGTTAACACTATTATACACATTTTGTCAAAGTTTAACGCGTATCGTACCATTAGTTTTTGATTGGCGTCTATACAAAGAAGTCGAAAAATTTCCATGTACCGATTTTTAGGTGAATATCATTCAAAAAAGGCGTCGTTGTGATGTGGTCAAAGAGATGATTTTCAACGCAGATAGTGACCCTACATTCATCGAACGCATCATAACTGGTGATGCGACATGGG